AAAAAACCAAAAAAAAAAAAATAAAAATAGGCAACTGTTGAAAATTCTAAAGGATTTAGAAGGCTGTGGCTCATGGGATATCATTGCTGATATCAGACAGATCAGACAGGCTGAAAGTAAAGAATGCCAGAAGAATGTCTACTTGTGCTTTATTGACTAGGCAAAGGCATTTGACTGTGTAGATCATAACAATTTATGGCTAACATTGAGAAGAACGGAAATCTCAGAGCACTTAATTGTAATTGTTCATGTGAAACCTAAACCTTGACTTGGAGGCTGTTGAGTGGAAAGAGCAAAGGAACACTAATGGTTTAAAATTAAGGGAGTATGTCAGGGTAGTATTCTCTCTCCACACCTATTCAATCTGTATGCTGACAAAATTATTCAAGAAGCTGGACTCTATGAAGAGGAATGTGGGATCAGGATTAGAGGGAGACTCATCCACAACCTGTGTTATGCAGATGATACAATTTTGCTTGCTGAAAGTGAGGAGGACTTGAAGCACTTGTTGTAGATCAAATAAAACAGCTGTGGGGACAGATCAAAACCAGGCTGCTGAGAGCAGGCCACCAAGAGCATTCCGAACAGCTTACTTACCACTAGGCTACCAGAGCTCCATTTAATAGCAATGGAAATCTTTTTATACACAAAAACCAACTCAAAGTGGACCAAGGACCTAGTAAAGCTTGGAAGAATTCTAGAAGCCCTAACCCACAACAAGAATCTCGAAAAACCTACAACCAGGAGAAGATAAAATAGATGAATGGGACCTTCTGAGAATAAAATATCTATGCACATTCAAAAAAACTTCTCCACCAGGGTAAAAAGGGAAGCCATAGACTGGAAAAAAATATGATAAGGGACTTATATCTAGAATTTACAGAATACTCAAGCACCACAACAAGATAAAGGTAAACAACCCATTTGCAAAATGGGCACAATATATGAACAGACACTTCATCAAAGAAGACATTCACATGGAAAACAAACACATGAAGAAGTGTTCAAAATCCCTAGCTCTAAGAGAGAAGCAAATCAAAGCAACTATGAGATATCACCTCACCCTTGTAAGAATAGCAAAATTCAGCAGAGCAGCAAACAGCAAATGATGGCCAGGTTGTGGAGAAAGCGGAACCTTTATTCACTGTCGGTGGGAGTGTAAAATGGTGCAACCCCTGTGGAAAGCAGTATGGCGCTTTCTCAAAAAGTTGCAAATAGAAATACCATTTGACCCAGCAATTCCACTACTGGGAATATACCCTTAAGAAACCATAACTGCCACCCAAGCAGATATATGCACATACTCAGGTTTATTGCAGCTTTGTACACAATAGCAAACAGTGGTAAACAACCTAAGTGCCCATCAACAAACGAATGGCTAGAGAAGCTGTGGTATATTCACACAATGGAATACTATGCTGCATTCAAAAACAAGGAACTCATGAAATATTATACAAAATGGGTGACCCTGGAGGACATTATGCTGAATTAAATATCTCAGTCACAAAAGGAGAAATACTGCATAGAGTCCCTGTTGCAAAATGGGACTGACACTGGGGTTAGGGAGAACCTAAGAAAAGAAGGGATAAATAATGTGCACCTCATTGAAACAGATGAGGCATAGAACTATTTAAAAGGAATACAGGTATTATTGTCATTACAAGAGTCCAAAATAAGAACTGCATAGCATTAGCTGGTATCCAAAGATTATTAATTGTTTTGAAAAGTATTACCATATAATAAAATAATTAACACATTGTCACACACTTTTTAAACTGACGACCATGCTTAGAAACATATTTGCCGTCATTTGCGGCAACGTGTGAAGATTTCACATCAACGATGACTCAAAATTGAATTGCTTAAACTGGTGATAGAAACAAAATCATGTGTGCCTTATTCCGGAGGAGGTACGAAATTATCTCATGGCATGTACCTGACAGCCATCTCTGGCCAAGTTTAGAGGTCTTATGCTTTCAAGTTCTACGTAAAAAGGATTTCTTAATTTGATTTTCTCTGTTACAAAAACTCTTTATTTCTAAAATCATTGTTTCAAAGTCTCATTTTTCGTTTACTGATAAAAGAGACTTAAAAATGCAGAGGATGTGAAGTAACTCCTGGAAAATTACAATTGATGAGGAGAATCTAAGATTTAGAAACCCACTAATGTGTCCGTTTCTTTTACATGAGAAATTAAGATGAGAAATCAAGGAAATATATTTACCAAAATGTGTTTCAATTTCTCTAAATACTATGTCTGCAAACAACAAATAAGGCTGTGTATGTACTGTGAACTCATAGAATTGACTGTACCCAGATTAATTGAGAGATAAATTCAGACATATTTTTGTGGCCTAAATAAGCTGATTCAGAAGTTACATTTCTTAACTTTTAGGTAGAGGAGAATATTTGTATCCTTTTGTTGCTATGCAACTATTTAATGATTTAGCTTCAAACCACAATTTTGTATGTCATATGACAATCAATTATTTTCCAAGAATATTTCTTACTTTAAGTAAACAAAATTTCAGTGAATCTGAACTTTTCTAAGAGTCCCTTAACGGAAATTTAGCATTCCATGAACCACTACAATAGCTACCCTGGAAAAAAACATTTTCATCAAGTTCAGGCTTTATAAAGAACTGTAACATTTATTTTAAACATTCTGTATTTACGGAAATCATAATGAACAACTCAGTTTCTAAACCACTTGTAACAATGTATTTTCCACTGGTACTGTGATACTACATAACACAGACCCTTTTGTATTAATATAGTATTTTTCCCACCAACTGAAAAATATCTTTTGCTTTGTTGACAATGTTTTTGTAAGATGACTTTATTTTCAAATCTTTTTTCCTTCCTTTTTTTATTTTTGCACAAAACTATGTTTATGATTTATATCATAGAAGTGGAAATACATCACTACGTTTTTATATCTGGTTTGTTTCCTTGTTTCCTTTGTTTTAACTGGATAGAAATTTACTTTAAATATATAATGGCAATATTCAAATATCTTGCCCTACCATGTCTGTCTTTATTTTCATCTGCATTTATTTAATCACTGTATTACTTAATGTTTGATTTGTTACTATGGACATTTCAAATAGAAAAGCATGGAATTGTAATATCAAAAGGCTATTTTATGTTGAGGATATGTGCATTTGTATTTCACACACAAAAGATGATATTAAACAAGGATTCTTTTATGCTGCTGTTTATTAAAAATGTTTACTGTAAAAAAATCAAACAAACCCATTTCCGTTTCAATGTTGTAAAAAAAAAAATCAAGGCCTCCTTTGACTTCACATTACCTTTCTCCAGTATTATCAACTTCATGCTGGTGAAGACCACTGCAATCAAGACTGTCACATAAAAGCCAAGTCTGATACTTGAGCACCACACAACAAGATAAAGGAGAATAATGCAATTGACAAATGGGCACAGGATATGATCAGACACTTCACCAAGGAAGACATTCACATGGCCAACAAGCACATGAAGAAATGTTCAAAATCCCTAGCCCTGAGAGATATACAAATCAAGACAACCATGAGATATCATCTCACTCCAGTAAGACTAGCAAAATTTAACAGAACAGCAAGCAACAAATGCTGGCGAGGTTGTGG